GCATGAAATATCACTGCGCATAGAGCTAACATTCGTTGTCAAGATCAGAGAGTAAAATCGACCACCGCAATCCTCGCACTAACGACCAGAAGCAGCTTGCATCTATGCAAAGCTCTAAACTAGGTGCAACCAACTATTCGAAACCAAAAAACACGTGTCATATGTGTAGTGCATTTCTTCGGATTCGTGCGAAATCTTCATTTATTTGTCGCGGTTAGAGATAACATGCAGTGGAGTTCAACAATTTGTGTATACAGCATTTTTCATAAATCCTCTAAGCAAATTCCTGTAGTCAAACACTGTGAACATGATCAGACTTCGCCCTCAGTTGAGACTGGAAAAGAAATCCATGCATCAACTCAGTGTCACTATAGCGTTCTCACTTTACACTATTAGGTAAACAACCAAACCAACGGCGTTGAGCGGAACATGTGCTAAATTAATTTATTGTATGTGTCCGCACCAAACTGTTACGACTAAAGACAAGCTAATTCTAAGTCAGTAAAATGCGGTTTAGTTTGATAATGGACCGCGCGGGGCTACACTTTCGGTTCCTTTGAACGAAGGTTGAAGTGGATAAAAAATCAAACCATAACACTAAAACATCGACTGTAATCGCCGACATTCCGCTGAGAATCTGGCAGAGAACGTGTCAGGAAATATTTGAAGAGGGAAAGCTAATTTACGCAAATGTCGGTTTCTTTGACAAATAAAAAAGCAAAATCGTGTCGACAAATGAGCTAGGGTACATTTAAGCCTTAAAAAGGTGTAAGTTTTAATTGAATGCAAGAATTCCTTAACTTACTTTCCTCAAGGGGGGTAAACCTGAGGCAGCGAGTTAGGCATGAAGGTTGAGCGTACTTTATTGCCGCCCTGGATAGCCGTTTACAGTCGAAGCGAACTAAGTGATTAAGGGGAATCGTGATTTAACTAAACCACTTGTAGGTCTGAGTAAATAAGTGTAAAAATCCAGCGAAAGTAAAAATAACTCCACAGAATAAATGTTTAAATGACAAAACAAGACATTCTGCTGGAAATAAGAGCGGTCAGTGATGATAGAAATCACCGCAAAGGTAATGAAAAACTCACCAAAACATCCAAAGCAACATCTTTCGCCATCTTTCGCGAACATGGATGCGATAAGACGTATATATATGTATATATGTTCCATCGGGACTCCACTGGATCTACCGCCACTCTTCTCCCTTACCATATCGA